GCTTATGGTGCTCAAATTGTGCTTGTAGAAATCCATGCAAAAGCATGTGCTCTGGATCATTGCCCATCTTGACAAAACAGGATGCTTAAACTAGTTCCGTTATTGAAGGGAATAATGAACATATCTCTGCAGGAGGGGAGTATGCATATTATACTGAAGGCAAGATTCCCCCCCTCCCCGTGTTTAAAAATGCAGAAGTCCAGTGGTACCTTAAAGACTAGCAATGTTTATTCAAACATGAGCTTTCATGAGTCGGAGGTCATTAAAAAAAATCGAACTTAGATCATTTTCTGGAATTGGCTAGCATACATTTTCCTTTGGTGTGTGTGGGGGCACTGTGTAATTGTTCTGCAGTGCCTAGTTCTTACAGATGTGCATTTCTTTGATTGATTCCAACCTGGTTTGGAAGACAAAATATGGGTCTGGGGCTCAGTGGCTGAGCATCTGCTATATATGCAGAAGGCCCCAGGTTCAATACATGGTATCTCCAGTTAAAGGGAACAGGTAGTAGGGACAGACTCTGGAGAGCCGCTGCCAGTTAGAATAGACAATACTGACCTTGACAGACCAGTGGCTTGACTCAGTCTAAGGCAGCTTCATGTGTAGCCCTGGTGAATCTTGTCTCCAGAGGTTGATTGAGCTTGACTTATTGATGAGTTCTCTGCTCTCTTGGTATTTTTTGATGCCGCCCAGTTTAGACTCGGCCAACCTCGATATTCTCTGTTATCAAGACAATGACATGAGAAGCAGAAGTATTAGTACTTAAGCAGCCTGGTCAGATTTTTATACCCTATGCTCCCTCCCCTGTTTATTTTTAATTGTTTGTGTATGCCTGCTTTTCTCTTCAAAAGAAACTGTTCTAATCCTAATGAGAAGTCAGGCGGCAGGCTCTACAAGGCAACACTGGTCATTATCAGCCCAGTACTACTACTACTACTACTACTACTACTACTACTACTACTACTTAATTAATTTATACCCTGCTCTATCCCATGAGTGGGCTCAGGGTGGTTTACAACACAAGATTCATAAAACACTAAAAGCGATAAAACCAATAAAACAACAGATGGCACAATAAACAATAATGGAAAGGACCCTTACCTCTTGTCAGGTGAATAAAAGCTCCAGTGCCCAAGTAATGTTGTCTAAGCAGCATGACACTGGGAAGGGGGCATGAACAGCGGAGGCCAGAATGGCTGAACATCTGCCACCTCAACTGAAAGCCTGGTGGAACAGGCTCTGTGGAACTGTAATAGGTCCCGCAGGGCCCTGATCTCAGGTGGGAGCATGTTCTACCATGTTGGGGCGAGGGCTTTTTCAACCCTGGTTGAGGCTAAGCAGACATCCCTCGGGCTGGAGATCACAGGAAGTGCTGATTGGAAGAGTGTAAAGCTCTCTGGGATTCATATGGGGAGAGGCAGTCCCACGGGTATGATGGTCCCAGCCCACATAGGGCTTAAAGGTCAAAACCATAACCATGAACTGGATCTGGTATTCGATCAGCAGCCAGTGCAGTTGGCACAACACCAGCTGAATGTGCATCCATGAAGACGTCGCCATGATTAAGTGTGCCGCTGCACTCTGCACTAGCTGCAATTTCCGGATCAGGCCCAAGGATAGACCCAGGTAAAGTGAATAACAGTAATCCAGCCTGGAAGTGACCATTGTATGGATCACTGTATCTAAGTCCTGAAAGATAGGGAACCAGCCGCCTAACCATCTGAAGATGATAAAAGGCCGATCTGGCAGCTGAAGTGACCTGGGCCTCCATAGTAAGTGAGGGATCCATCATCACCCCGAGACTCCTTACCCACCACGCTGACACCAGTGGTGCCCCCTGAAGACTGGGAGCCTGATTCCTGACCCCATGTCTCAGGTACAGGACCTCCATCATCATTGAATTCAACTTCAGCAGGCTCTGCTGCAACCATCCAGCCATGGCCTCTAACGCCCTGTCCAAAATGTCTGGGGTGGGGTCTGTCCATTTGTCCATGAACAGATAGAGCTGGGTGTCATCTGCATATTGGTCCAAACCCCTTTCCAAACCCCTGGACCGACTGGGTGAGAGGACACATGTAGATGTTAAATAACATCGGAGAGAGGAGCACCCCCTGTGGCACTCCACATTCAAGCAGGTAGTGCGGGGACATGCTCTCCCCTAGTGCCACCCTCTGTCCCCAACCATGGAGAAAGGAGGACAGCCATTGTAAAGCACTCCCCCGTATTCCACGGTCAGCAAGGTGGTGGGTCAACAGATCATAGTTGACCATGTTGAATGTTGTTGTCAGATCTAAAAGCAACAGCAGCACCAATCTGTCTTGATCCAGGTGTCTCTGGAGGTCATCCATGAGGGCAACCAGCACAGTCTCCACCCCATGACCAGGGCAGAAGCCGGACTGGAAGGGGTCCAGAATGGAAACATCATCTAAGAAAACCTGAAGCTGCTCAGCCACTGCCCTGTTAACTACCTTACCCAGAAACAAAAGATTTGAGACTGGGTGGTAGCTGGCAAGGACCACAGGGTCCAGCAATGGTTTTTTGAGGAGCAGATGCACCACAGCCTCCTTCAAGCCCCTTGGGAATACCTCTGAAGAGAGGGAGGTAGATCAGTGCCTCAGGCTGTGCGTGGTTTCTGTATATTGCTCCACCAGGATCAGGTAAAGGTATGAAAATGTGCATTCTGGATGTGCTGTATGAGAAAGAAATTGCCTAGCACTGGAGCAAGAACCAGTGCCCTCAAGTGACATGGGGCAGGAAAAAAAGTTATGCTATATTTTCCTATGGAAAATTTTCTGCCCCACATATGTGAATATAATCTTGTTTAACTGTAGTTGTTATGGCTGTTGTGCTGTAGATCAATTAGACTCAATGGGCTACATACGGGATATGAAGCATGGACAAACCTCAGAATTTCTATGTAGACCATGCTTGTATATGGCATATTTGCCTTCTTTTAGTATTATTTAAATGTTGCTTTGTTGTTGTTGTTGTTCAGTCGCACAGCCGAGTCCGACTCTTTGCGACCAGTGTTCCCTCTAAGCTGAGTTAGTGTGAGTCAGCTCACAGTTTTTTAGCCTCTGGCTCACACATTTTTGTCTTGGCTCAGGAAGGATGGCTCCAGAGCAAACTAATTTATGCAGCAGCCCAATCGCTCGCTCACAACTTTAATGCTAGTCACTCACAAAGTGGAATTTTTGCACACAAGACTCCACAGCTTAGAGGGAACATTGTTTGCGACCCCATGGACCAGATCACGCCAGGCCTTCCTGTCTTCTGCCGTCCTCTGAAGTTTGCTCAATTCATGTTCATTGCATCTATGACACTGTCTAACCATCTCATCCTTTGCCGTCCCCGTCTTCTTTGACCTTCAATCTTTCCTAGCATCACAGTCTTTTCCAGTGAGTGCTCCCTTCTTATTTGGTGGCCAAAGTATTTGAGCTTCAGTTTCATTATCTGGCATTCCAGGGAACAGTCAGGGTTGATTTATTTTAGGATTGACTGATTTGATCTCCTTGCAGTCCAAGGGACTCTCAAGAGTCTTCTCCAGCACCATAATTCTTACAGGAAAACAAAATTAAAATCAGCATACAATCAGCACTATAATACCAGAACAATTAACTTAGAGGTGTTTTTAAAAACTAAGTTTGCTCTGATCTTCAGAGCAAAAAGAGCCATTTGGTAGGAAACACACATCAACTAGTTTTCCGGGATCTGAAAAGGACTGTAGATTAGCTAAAATAATGGCCAGGAATGTATACGTTGATCAGTTGGAATTCTGGCATACCGGCACGTTAGCTCAGTTGACATTGCTTGAAAGTGCAACACTGTGAATGCCATTCTTAAATTATAAGCTGCTTTGTTGACCAAATAAGCTCTGGAGTGATCGATCTTTATCTCTTTGTTGTTGTTAGCCATACAGTAATGTTTGACTTTTGGTGATTCTATCACTTTGTACCATGGGGCAAACTTCTGATGCATAATTGACAAGGTATCAATTAGGGAGCCCCCTTTAAATACCCATTCCCGCAAATCCAGGTTGTTCTACCAGTGAGCTACAGCCCCACCCCTGTATACAGGGGTCCCCAACATGGTGCCCTTGGGTGCCATGGAATCCATCAACACCTTTTCTGGTATCCACCAAGTCATTTTAGAAAGTGGGCAGGGCCATGTAGGGCTTTGCCCAGTAGGGCTGGTGATTAGCTGCGCAGATGAAAAGGCATCCTATTAAATAGATCTTCTGCCTGAAATGTTGAAGAGTTACTATTAAAGTATATATATCATGTAGTAGGCTCTGCCTTGGTGGCAGATATTTTGTGGTTGACACCAACTGCTATGGCAGCCATTTTGTGGTTGTGCCCACCACCGTTTCAGAATTCCAAAGGTGCCAACAGGCTGAAAAAGTTTGTGGACCCCTGCATTATATATTAGCAATCCTTGATAGTAACTTGCACCTGGGTCAAATGCTCCTAATATTTATCTCATTATGCAAATCATTCCTGTAGTGCTTCCTCCACTATAAAGTATTCTGCCCTACCCTACCTAGGCTGTTGGTAAGGATATCATGGGAAGTAACCTTGTCCTTTTAAACACTTTGGGAAATGCCCTTGCCGTCTTTAAGAACTGCAGGGCCGCAGGCAAAGTTTCAACAGGGGTTGACTTTCTCCCTCCAAGCATCTTCATAACAGGAAAGGCAGGTCTCCCTGTCATGCCGCTCTTAAGGGCACAGGAACCCTCGGTGGACATAAGTTGGCAACTAAAAACTAATCCCAGAGCCTTTCTGACGTCTGTTTCCACACATACGCTATGCTTACAATCAGTTTCAGTAATGCGACGGAGGGAAAAAATGAGGGAGGGCAGCGTGTGTGTGCGTGCAAGAGAGAGTGACTGCATGTGGACGTTTATTGCCGTCACCGCCATTCCCCTTCGTATGGGCGCCTCAGCATCAGCCACTCAGGAGGACCCTGAGGAGAATCGGAGGCCGTTGGGCGTGCAGGCAGGCTTGGGCCTAGGCTGAGGCGCCTGCGCGCCCCTCCGAGCGGCGGGGGGCGCTGGGGGCCGGGTTCGAGGCGGGCTCTTCGGGCGGAGACAGGGCGAGGTGCGTAGGGCGCCACGTCGGCAAGCGTTGCAGCGGCAGCACCAGCACCTCTGAAGGGTCCGGGTTGGGTCGGCTGGCGACGGAGCTCACAGCGACACCGACCCGAGAGGGGAAAGCGAATCGCGCGGAGGTGAGAACGAGAAGCGACCGAATCAACCCCCTCTTCTAGCGGGAGGAAGGGTAGGGGGGTGGGCTCTACCATCTTTCCCTCCCCCTGGCCTCCTTTCAGGAAGAAGGGAGTGGGAGTAAGTAGCTCGGACGACACCCCCCCCCCGTTTCCCCCTCCCCGGTATGTGGTCAAGAGCTGCCCGCTTAGGGGGGCGCTGCAGATAAGGGGCAGCGGGTTGGGTGACACTGGATTTTAAGGGGCATCTTTAAAAGGTGGCTCCAAGAAAACGGTAAACCTGAACGGGGGCGGCGGTTAATTTGTTACAGAGACTCTGCTTTGAGTGTGGAGACCCTCCCCTCCCCTTACCCCTTTTCAGTAGTTGTCACCTTGCTCCTTTTGAGGTGTGGAAAGAAAAGACGGGGTCTGGGGCGGATGTCCTTCATTAACAGAAAGTGCAGTTTTGTGTAAGAGGAGCTCTTCTGTTTCTTTTCTGTTTAAAGCTAAAATGGCCATATCAACTGTAAGGGAGAGTGTTAAACTTGGTAGGTGGGTGTGCGGTGAAACTCTCACTAATGTCTTTGCATCTCCACCAGCCTTTCCTTGAGAGCCTCTTTCCTCGGGCCTCTTAGTAAGGGGGGGGGGGGGAACAAGGGTGTGTGTGTGTGAGGGGACATGGCTATAGCGCTCCTTGAAGGAGTAGCAAGTTAGTTGGGGGGGGGGAGTTTTGGTGTGCAAACTGCATGAGAATTTGTAAATGGACGTGGGGTGGTGGGAGGCGAAGGAAGACAAGAAGTTGCCTTCTAGTATGTTCTGGAGAAGCTATATAGCACCTTCTGTTAGAAAGGTGTTAACATACAATGCGTAAGAACCCTTAAGGGGGCAGGGAAAAGAGGCCAACCAACACTTCCTTCGACAGCTATATAGCTCCAGGTTACTTCCTTGCCTCTCCTGCCACGTCACTGTCGTGATCCAAGAAATCTCTTTGTGCCTACAGGATCCCCATTTTCAGCTTCCTATAGTAGACACAGTCCCCTCCCCCTTTTGCTGCTTACAGTTCTGTTCTGCCTTCAGGTCCTTTGTTACGGTTTCATTAGTGCCAAAAATGATTAGATGAGAATATTCATTTACCATGCTACTACTTGTTTGAAAATTCAGTGTTCTAGCTCTCTGATTTAGAATGTAATGTATGCATGTGTGTATGTGCGCACCTAATGCTGTGCCTGAAAATCTGTGGTTGATAAGCTGTGAGGCTATTTCTGCTAGATGGAGCCATGTTTACCATGTAGTCTGAGAAATCTTCAGGGATCAATTTGTGTGGCAGATGTGTGGTCGCCTAGCTGGAGAATAGAACAGCACTTGAGAACTCTGCTGTCCCTGTCTGAAAACAAGGATGCGTGATTTATCTGTAATCTGTATGGGAAGTTCCATCCATTGTACAGACCCTAGAAGTATATTTTGCTGCTCAGTCACACACACTCCAGTTTGGCGACCCAGACCTAAAGAAGAGCAACCAGAGTACTGCATGTAAATCCATAAAAGGAAAACTCAGAAGTGTGAGGAATCTATTGCATACAGTTGTTGGAAACATTTTTTTTCCTTTGAGTGGAACGGGGCGGGGGGCAGAGAAAATTGCTTCCTCAGGTGGTTCTGGCCAACAGTCCTGTGATTGCCAGTTCATAAACTGATTCAGGGTACAGAGTGCACAATCAATGGGAAAAATACTGTTTTCTCCATTGAAGAAGTTTTATTATGTAAATAATTCCCTTGACAAATTAGCAAGGTGAAGAAGTGATGCTGGTACAAAGAGCCAAAAAATGTGTGGGCTCACTGATATTTCAAGATTTACTTCCAAAGTGGTGGCCGCATTCTGAATTTTTTCAATAGGCATAATTGCAGCCGTTCACTACCACCAGCTCTCCAGAGTGCATACCTTTCTCTTTTCTTGATACAAGTGGCACTAAGAACCACCCCACTTTAACATTTATATTTTAACATGAATAAAAACCTGATTAATCTGAGGCTGGGATAGGAAAGAATACCCTTTTTACTCAGTCTCTGCAAAGCTGCAAACTGTTAAGTACCACACTTGTCTATACTTCTGAGGTTGACTGTTGCAGTTTGATTTCTTATACTGATCCACACTGTTTTAATAACTAACTGTAATCCTTCTTCAGCTATTGTTGTCCATAGTTTACTGCCAGCGAGAAAGCTAAGTGGGCCTGTCCCACCTCTCAATTTGCCAGCTGCTTATAAGAATAGCAACTTTTAAAATATACATCATTTTGTAGTATTTTGCTTTATGTGTCTAAAAGCAACTGAGTTTGGGCAGGGCACTCTTGTTCTCTTGTCCTTTGCAAGCAGTACAATGAGAGTTGAATGTTCCTTATTTCCTTTCATTCCCATTGCTGTGACCTGATGCAGGCAGCCCCTCTCCCCTAGCTTTTCTCCCAAATAACCTCCTTTTCTGTGACATAAGTGCACCGAAGATTTGCGGTTGTAAGCCTCTCTTTTCTTTGATTTGCCAGGCTTGTGATGAGGATAAATGCTACTAACTGAGCCATCTCTCTTTCCCCTTAGATAGCTTTGCCTTGATTGATGCCCACTGTGATACAATGTAGGAATTCTTTCACTAAAGCCTTTCCTTCACCAAATTCTTTCACTCAGTACACTATAATTGTAATTGAGCAAAATTCTTGCTTGGTGTAGTAATTAAGAGAGCCAGCTTGGTGTAGTGGTTAAGAGCGGTGGACTCTAATCTGAAGAACCGGGTTTGATTCCCCACTCCTCCACATGAAGCCAGTTGGGTGACCTTGGGTCAGTCACAGTTCTCCCAGAGCTCCCTCAGCTTCACCTACCACACAGGGTGTCTGTTGTGTGGAGAGGAAGGGAAGGCGATTGCAAGCCACTCTGAGACTAGTGAAGAGAAGGGTATAAAACCAACTCTTCTTCATCTTCTTCTTCCAATTTTCCTCTCTTTGCTGTTTTGAAGATTTGTATTAGTTATGGCACTTCATGAGCAGCATAGGCTATTTGAATTTCTGCATGTCAGTATGTGTTGTGGCTGAGATGCATTTTGAGAACTCTTATGTATGCATGTTACTCTCATAGGTTTTTACACCAGAACATTGCAGTGGAATTTCCAGACGCAGTTATAGTTGGTAAGTATCAAACTATATTAATAAGGTGCATATTATCACAAGTGGAAATTGAGTTACTCTAAATGTTGGGGGTGAGGAGATGGGGCAGGAAAGGGTATCTACCAGTGATAATGATTTTTATGTTTGCTGAAAAGTGATAGGGAATAAGATTAATTGCCCAACCCGTGCTTCTCCTGTTGTTAAAACTGGGCCAGAGTGTGGGCCATGAATTTGCACTTCCCTCCACTGCCAAGGAATACCCCTGCCAGTAAAGGACACTGCCCTCATCCAGTGTGGCTGGGATTTTGAGAGGCAGGGGCATAAGGAATGGGGAAGGGTGTGTGGGGGGACAAGTTGGTTAGACAGAATGATATACATGACACTGGAAAGGACAGGATGGAAATGTACTAGTGTCCTTCAAGTACAGTCTCCTTTCCCTTTTTACTGCTTAGGGATTCTTTGGGGAATTGACTTCAGCGATTATGATACCTTCAGGCCCACTTCTCCTCTGCTTTTTTGCTGTTAATTTTCATGGTTCCCAGTACTCAGTAACTTCAGAGCGTAAGGCTGCATTATACATGCTGAATTTATCTTCTGATACTGTTTTTTGTGTGTATACGTATAGGCTTTTAAAATCTTTCAGTCTCATGGGTAAGACCTGAGAAAGAGACGGCTGTGCATGTTGAAGACCCTGTAAGTTCAAGGTGGACTTAAGCAATTTTGTATGGATTGTATCCTTCATGTCACAGAGATTTTTTAAAAAAGTAAATGGCTTATTCAAAATCCAGTTAAACTTCCAACAATTTTGAAGCAGAATTTTTAAGAATTTCTAAGTATTCCTCAATATGGATTGCATTTAGATGTCAAACAATTGTTTTATTTAAAAAAGGCAATAAATCTGTTTAACACCAGCTCTTTCAGATGTTGAAGCCCATGCATGTTTCTGAGCTCTTGTCCCCTGCCACTTCACCTGACTAGCACCACGGAGAGCCATGTAATGAAGAAGCCTGAAAGTGTATCCTCCATTATGCCAAGGCAAACTGCAGCAGCAGTTTCCCAGGCACAAGGAGTCCTTGAAAACATTTGTCACTGGGGCAAGTGGCATGCCTAATGAGGGAAGCCCTGGAAAGTACATTTCCCTGGGTGCAGAAGTTAGAACGTTGGACTAGAATCTAGCAGAGCCAGGTTCAAAGCCCCGCTGTGACATGGAAGCTTGCTGGGTGACCTTGGGGCAGTCATGCACCCTCAGCCATAACCTTCTTGACAGGGTTGTTATGAGGACAAAATAACACGGGGAAGGGGAGAATGTTTTAAGTCACTTTCGCTCCCCACCGGGAAGAAAAGTGGGGTATAAATGAAATAAAAACAAATTGCCGCAGTTTTAGGGCATTACTGCCTCTTGGTGATGTGTCTGGGGAAAAGAACAGGATTGTGAGGAGGGCAAAAGAACCCATCTTGAGTGTGGTCTGAACGTTGGAAGAGTTTGGGACCCAATAAGAACAGATGGAGAGGTGGAGAACTTGCATTTTGAATCCTCCACCCTCAAAACTTTAGCATGTCACAACTAGGTTTTAAACATGAACTCAATTAGTTACAAAATATTTCTTATGTAGGACCGCATTGCGACGATGTGCTTTTGCAATTAATTTCAAGGTCTCCTTGTGCCACTGTATTATATAAATTAATGCCTTGCATATTTGAATAATGGTGTGATCTTATTTTGTGTTTAAATGAACACCTGTAGCAGGATAATTTATAGCGCAGCGGTAGGGAATTAATCCAGAACAGTTCAGGTATAATTTTGGTCCCAACAATTTCATGTTAATTCATCTTATACTGTCATTACAATAAGAAGCACTCCATTACAAATGTGTGGACATCTGTCCTGTAATAGTGTAATCCTCAGCACTTATATGACACTTTTTGACAGTTCTGTGTACTTTACTTTATCTCTGTAATCTTCCTGTAATATTAAGTCAACACTACAATCATCAGGGGGTATAGAATTTAAGGCTGAGAGAGAGTTGTTTACATAAAGTCTCCTAGTGAGTTTGTGGCAGAGGGAGAGTTTGAATCAAGCACCTCCTGGATCATAGCTCATTTTCTTAAACACTGTGTGCTGCCTCATTGATAACTATTTGTGTATGCAGAAATAGATGCATTTTAGTAGGCAATTCAAATAAATTCACACACAACACATGTCCTGCAGGGTACTGGCTCATGTAGGAAATTCCATGAACCCTCCCTTTGCACCACCACCTGTAATGAATGTTTGTGCACTTGTGGAGGAAGTCAGAATACAGAGCAGGTTCCCTAGCATATAGGAACATGCATATTTGTCTTGTACTTTGTGCTCATGGAGCACATGCAATTTTCTAAAGATTATTAAATGATTCCAAGAATGTTTACATTCAATTTTTGGGTGTGACATCATGCATGATTGTAAAAGCTGTTACCTTTTCTGCTGGAGCCCTAGCTTTTTAAATATCTAGTTGCTGAGTTGTTTTTCTTTAAAAGGTTGACAAAATGTGAGGCTATGTAGTAACAGCAAGGTTGCACACATATAGAAGAAGAAGAAGAAGAAGAATTGGATTTATACCCCACCCTTCACTTGGAGTCTCAGAGTGGCTTACAAACTCCTTTCCCTTCCCCTCCCCACAACAGACACCCTGTGAGGTGGGTGAGGCTGAGAGAACTCTGACACAAACTGCTCTTTTTCAAGGACAGCTGTGCCAGAGCTTGTGACTGACCCAAGGTCACATCAGCAGGTGCAAGTGGAGGAGTGGGGACTCAAACCCGGTTCTCCCAGATTAGAGTCCGCACACTTAACCACTACACCAAAACTGGCTATAGGTGACATACAGAAAAAATGCTGAGCTACCTCTTTATGTAAATACATTAGATGATGTTCAGAGAGTAGGAGCCTCTCACACATTAAGTATGTAGGGTAAAAATAGCGATTGAACAGTTGCCTCATTGGAAAACACATTATCCAGCTTCACTCTTGTTCAGGTCATATTTCTTGAACAAGCTCAGCAACGTTTTCTTTTGGAAATAACTTGGAAGATTTAACTTACTATATGTGAGCAGCATTTTTCTTGTTATGTTGAAGTAATGTATCTTTTTCCCCTTGACACTTACCACTAGTCTTGTTGTTTGTAGATTTTGCCATTTAATTAAAAGAAGAGGACAGAACTTGCATCTTGGGGCTATACAGCAAGGTGTTATACACGTATGTACATAATGTTACATATAATGCTTTATATTAATGCATAGTATTCTAAATAAATAAATAGTATCGCAGGACATAAGTGATGTTTTTAGTGATATTTACATCATGCTATTTGGCCTTAAAAAAAAAAAAAGCCTAATGCAGCCCTGCTAAAATCAATTGGAACTGGATATTGACTCCAGTGGGAGATGGATTGTTTTCCATAGATAGAGCAGATATTTAAAGATTTGCTTTGATGCCTTGAAAAGACAGGAGCAGAACTATTTAGCAGGATGCTTCTAGGGTAGTAGGAGTACAATATTTGCAAATATCTGTATAGTGAGTAAATTCCCTAAGACAGTGTTTCCTTAAAGCAGAATTAATCTTTTTCATAAAGCTGTTGAGGGGGGGGGGGGATAAAAAAATGAGATTTCTGAAATCACTTTTCAGCCTTTGCTAATTTATGTCATTGCAGATATGGGTATGCATTTGCCAACTTCTAAAATAGAAACTTCCAAAGCAGCATACAGTAGTATTACAAAATCTCTTTGACAGAAAGTAACTTGTAGATGGTGTAAGGGTGTCTGAACTATCTGGCCAGGACACGAGGGTACTGACAGGTCTCAAAATTTTGTACTTTCTAGATTCCCCTAAGATTTCACTAAATTTGTGTTAGAAGGTATTTCTTGACAGCCTTCTATTCAGATGTTTGTAGTCTGTGAACTCAAATGATGTTAGGACAGGCTTTCTTTCTTGATCCTTAACATGCTTTCTTGAAAGAGAGACCTGCTGATTTCAGTAGTCCTTGCCTTAAGCAAATACAGTTAGGACCATAGGTCAGATTTTGACCGAGCTTGGTAAAAATTTCATTCTTTTTAGGAGCCAGACAGGCTTGGCACTTTCCCTTCTTATTCTAGAAGCAAAGTAATTGTTTTACAGGCGAGGTACAGCAAGTCAGTCATGTGTTTGTATTTAATTTTAGCAATTCCTGTCCACCAATTGTTGACACTAATGCACTGTGTAAACACTAGATGCAGGCTGGCACCATTTTGAAAGAGGCTTTCTTTACTTCTCTGGGCTGCCAGTAGCTTTTTGAAAACGTGTTATTTCTATGATAGGAATATACTAGAGGGTTTTCCTTCTGAATGCCAGAAGTAAATTTATGTTCTCCATTGACAGCTATATCTATGCTTAGCCAGTCTGACATTTCATCTGACTTTTACTGAAGAGTAAGGAATTTTTAAAAGTTATCCTGAGCATATCTTCTTGTTAAATTACATAGAAGTGCTCCTGTGTATATTGTAAATTGGTGGAAACTGTTATTAAGTAAAGAATTAGTAGGCACATTGATTAACAAAAACTATTGAGGCAGACTCAGCATGGGTTCCGTAAGGGAAGATCTTGTCTCACTAACCTGTTAGTGTTCTTTGAGGGGGTGAACAAACATGTGGACAAGGGAGACCCAATAGATGTTTACCTTGACTTCCAGAAAGCTTTTGATAAAATTCCTCATCAAAGGCTCCTTAGCAAGCAATAATGCTAATATTCTCCAGTTGATATGCATTTATGTAAATTATGCATCCGAACATAGAATGAATATTACAAGTGTGTAATAAGGCATAAGCATTTATTAATTTGTAACTATGCCCTCATGATACTAAGATACTGTACAATGCCAGGCCAGGAAGTGAGGCCAGGTTAGTTGTTTCCTTAGATGTGGGGATATTGCAACACAGCTTTGAGTTATTGAAAGCAGTCCTTCCTTGTTGGAGTCTGTGGCTCCCCACTGGACTTGAATGATCACTTCATACTTTTTTGGATGGATCCAGTATCTTTATTATTTTTGATGCACTCCATCTAGTCAACTTCATAGAATCCTAGAGTTGGAAGGGACCTCCAGGGTATCTAGTCCAACCCCTTGCACAGTGAGGAAATTCACCGATACCTCCCCCCCACCCCCAGTGACCTCTGCTCTATGCCCAGAAGAGGGGGGGGACCTCCAGGATCCCTGGCCAAACTGGCCTGGAGAACAGTTGCTTCCTGACCCCAAGGTGGCAATCAGCAGTTTCCTGGGCATGTAAGAAAGTGCCACAAGAACTGGGCACTGATGTGCCTGCCCTCTCTTTGTGATCTGCCTAAGTTCACAGAATCAGCATTGCTGTCAGATGGCCATCTAGCCTCTGCTTGAAAACCTCCAAAGAAGGAGAACCTACCACCTCCCAAGGAAGCCTGTTCCACTGAGGAACCACTCTGTCAGGAAGTTCTTCCTGATGTTTAGCCAAAAACTCTTCTGTTTTAATTTTAACCCGTTGGTTCTGGTCCAACCTTCTGGGGCAACAGAAAATAACTCTGCACCATCCTCTTTATGACAGCCCTTCAAGTACTTGAAGATGGTTATCATATCGCCTCTCAGTCATCTCCTCTCCAGGCTAAACATACCCAACTCCTTCAACCTTTCCTCATAGGACTTTGTCTCCAGACCTCTCATCATCTTTGTTGCCCTCCTCTGGACAAGTTCCAGCTTGTCTATATCCTTCTGAAATTGTGGTGCCCAAAACTGAACACAATACTCTAGGTGAGGTCTGACCAGAGTAAAGCAATATCATCACTTTGCATGATCTGGACACTTTACTTTTGTTGATGCAGACCAAAATCACATTTGCCTTTTTCGCTATCACATCACACTGCCGACTCATGTTCAGTGTATGGTCTACTTAAGACCCCCAGACCCTTTTCATACATACTGCTGCTAAGACAAGTCTCCCCCATCCTATAATTATGCATTTGATTTTTCCTACCTAAATGCAGAACTTTACATTTATCCCCACTGAAATTCATTTTATTTGTTTTAGCCTAGTTTTCCAGCCTGTCAAGGTCATCCTGTATACTGACTTTGTCTTCTACCATATTTGCTATCCCTCCCAATTTAGTATCATCTGCAAATTTAATAAGCATTCCCTTGCAGTATCTCTGGTTCTTGCTACCATGAAGTGGTTTTGCAAGGTCTGAAAATAAGTTGTCCTGAAGTACATTTGCCTGAATAACACATTAGTTATTACATGGATCATTTCTGCAATACAAAACTACTGTGAAATGATCACTATTTTCCTCTTGCAGTTTGTAAAACAAGGCTTCTTCCATGTGGTGAGGGCTCTTCATATTGCTTTAAATGGCTGCTGCAGGTGCAGAGGCATGCATGTTGGCATGGGGCTTCTGCATCTGGGAGTTTTCTGTGTACTTTCCTCCATTTTTCCCCCCTAACACCTTTCTTCCACATGAGCTCCTTGGTGTTGGCTTTTGGATACATAGTTGTTGTGGCTGATGTGGCAACTCACAAAACTTTTTTTTCTTCACACATATACTATATAGCACTATAGTGGTTGTATTAGAGTTTTAAATAGATATGCAGTGGATCATTATAGTGCTATAGCACATTATCAACATATGTCTAGTATCTTTCCAGCTTCCCTTTCCAGTAAATTGGTACAACAACCCACATCTTTCTCCTTATATTTCTACAACAAAAAGTGCTGAAATATTCCTTTAAAAAAAAAAAACCCTAGGAATTCAAAGCAGCCTCATGGCCAGAAAATGTAGCGGGGGGGGGGGTGCTGTGAAATTTGGGGGGGGGCATCATGGGCCCTAGGAAAAGCATTGGCTCCAGAACAAACTAATTTATGCATAAGCCAAATCACTCACTTACAACTTTAATGCCAGTAGCTCACAAAGTAGAATTTTTGCACACAAGACTCCACAGCTTAGAGAGAGCATTGCTCAAGAGTGGTACCTTCAGCACTTAAAAGATCCGGGAAATTACAGGCCAATCAGTCTGACGTTGATACCGGGTAAATTGGTGGAAACTGTTATTAAGTAAAGAATTAGTAGGCACATTGATTAACAAAAACTATTGAGGCAGACTCAGCATGGGTTCCGTAAGGGAAGATCTTGTCTCACTAACCTGTTAGTGTTCTTTGAGGGGGTGAACAAACATGTGGACAAGGGAGACCCAATAGATGTTTACCTTGACTTCCAGAAAGCTTTTGATAAAATTCCTCATCAAAGGCTCCTAAGCAAGCTCAAAAATCACGGGATAAAAGGACAAGTCCATTTGTGGATCAAAAACTGGCTAATTAATAGGAAACAGAGAGTGAGTATAAATGGGAAATTTTCTCAGTGGAGGGGGGTAAGCAGTGGGGTACCGCAGGGATCAGTACTGGGTCCGATGCTTTTTAACTTGTTCATTAATTACTCGGAGCTGGGAGTCAGCAGTGAAGTAGCTAAATTTGTGGAGGATACAAAGTTGTTCAGGGTGGTGAAAACCAGGGAGGATTGTGAGGCACTCCAAAGGGATCTGTCGCGGATGGGCAAGTGGGCGTCAACATGGCAAATGGGGTTCAATGTGGCCAAGTGCAAGGTGATGCACATTGGAGCCAAAAATCCTGAATATAAATACACGGTGATGGGGTCTAAACTGGCAGAGACTGATCAAGAGAGAGATCTTGGGGTCGTAGTAGGTAACTCACTGAAAATGCCGAGACAGTGTGTGACTGCAATAAAAAAGGCCAATGCTATGCTGGGGATTATTAGGAAGGGTATTGAAAACAGATCAGCCAATATCATAATGCCCCTATATAAATCAATGGTGCGACCTCATTTGGAATACTGTGTATAGTTCTGGTCAGCACACCTCAAAAAGGATATTATAGCATTGGAAAAAGTGCAGAACATTGGCTTGTCTTACGTTCTTATGTTCACTTCTCCAATCATCTCCCTTTCTGCTAGTCCAGTCCTGCTGTATACCACCTAGATGATGGTGAGTCTTTCAAAAGCATCCTCATGAGCCTTTGGGAAACGTGCTGAAGGTACCACTCTTGAGTGCCTTTCTAAGCTTTCTTGCCCCATGGAAAGGAACTCAAAAGGCATTTAAATGCCTTCTGAAGGCAATAAAGTTCCCTCTGAGCTGTCTTTTCCTAGGAACTGATGTGCTCGCTACCCTGTCCTATAACTGCCTCCTCTGTGGAGAGGTCTTGGAGAGCCAACTCACTGGCAGCCATTCACTTGAGGGGTGTGAATGGAAAGTTGGGGGTGTGGCCATGGGATGCCCCACAGTGGCTATGGGCCAGATTCAAAGGGACCAAAAATTGAAATGAAAGTAGATAAGTGAAAGTAAATGTAGCCCATCAAGAAAAAATGCTAGAAAATAACATCCATAAGCACCAATACAGCAGGGACAGTTGCTGCAGGAAAATCTGCACTGTTCCTTAAACATAACATGGTAATGCACTTGGACTGTGTTCTTTCCAAAAAGACTGAAATAAAGCAGGTTTGGGAGAAAGCATATTGAGGGTGGGGGAAAATAGAAATTTTAAGAGTGTGGTTAGACCATAAAGCCACTCCAAAAAAAGGACTCCAAGGTGGAGAAAAATCTATCTGGAAGCAGCCCAGGTTTTTTTTTAAACCCAACAAATATCATAATATAGACCTTAATTTGGTTTTTTTTAATTGCCAAGCTTTATTTTTGTTATTTTCTGATAATATTCCTGAGGTCTTGGTGCCATGCTGTAGAGCTGCCGTCTTCAATAATCAGCTTGTAGTTCGTATGAGGCCTGTCAAGCTCTGCCAACCAGCTTGGTCTTTTCTCTGCTGACTGAAGTGGATTCTTGTGTGCCACTTTCAGTTTCCATGTTTTATTACAATAATACACACATTTGCAATGCAGTAAAAATAATAATCTGTTTTCATGCCATCAGCTGTCCCTGCATTTCATTCAATTAAATAGTACGTTCACTTTGTCCGTCCTTTTTCTTAAATTAACATTTACAGCTTACGTCTGGGAAAAGTTTACCGCTGGCTCTGGCATGATCTTGCTGCACCCATGTAATGTCATATTTTGTAATACCGGGCTGGCATTGTAGTTGGGTTGTGAATAATATGGTCTTATTTTTTTAGTGTAAGAGGGGAACCGATTAATGCTGTTCCCTCACCAGCCCTTGTGCTGTTGCTGTCATCCAGTTCATATCCCTACCAGCTACTTTAAAGTAAAAATAAAATCTCCTTTGTCATATATTAGGATTAGGCTGTAGCTTTGATGTTCTTTAAAGGGAGGTGGGTAAGCAATATATTTTAAAAATAGCTGTATCTATGACAACTTTGTTTCTTCTAGGCAACGATGAATCAAACAGACAATAATGAACAAGATGTTCCTCCATACCTTAATGATGAGCCACCAGAAGGTAAAATTTGGTGACAAGATTATTATAGTTCTGTAAACTAAGGTGTCATACTACTGCAGTTGCCTACCAGAGGTACTCATAAGTATTTTTTTTAAAGTTGCTTCAGCAAATGAATTTTCAAATTGCTTTTAGTGCTAAGAGAGAGAGCCAGTTTGGTGTAGTGGTTAAGTGTGCGGACTCTTATCTGGGAGAACCGGGTTTGGTTCCCCAATCACACCCGGCTGGATGACCTTGGGCAAGCCGTAGCTCTGGCACAGCTGTTCTTGAAAAAAAGCAGTTTCTGTCAAGAGCTCTCTCAGCCCCACCTACCTCACAGGGTGTCCGTTGTGGGGAGGGGAAGGGAAAGGAGTTTGTAAGCCGCTCTGAGACACCTTTGGGTAGTGAAGGGCGGGGTATAAATCCAATCTCTTCTTCTCTTAAGGAACCAACAGATGCAGTGTAGGAGCTGAAGTGTGTTCCATGTGTTCATTGACACAGTTGTTTATAAAATTGTAAATTACTTTCTCATGTGAATGTATTAATAAAACTGGCTTTAGTCTCAGAATTGACAAGTCAGTCACTACAGGAATACCTGTCACCCAGTTTAACACTGCATTTTTAACAGGTTCCTGAGACAAACAGAGACTCTCAGTTGTATGAGCAAAATTACTCTTGTTTTAGTTTGTGAGAAAGCTTACTGTGGAAACTGACTTGTTCTTCTTGTTACCTCTGCAAAAAGAACTTACTCTGGACTTAGACCATGTGTGACAGGTGCTTCTCAAATCCTCCTAGGGATAAAGATTGTCTATGGAACTTTCTGTTCCATTGCTCAACTGCTGCACCTTACCCCACACATTCTGGTGCCAATAACCATTTTCCTGCTTCAGTGCTGTTGTGCTTGACTTGGATCCATTCCAGTAGGGCATGCGGAGCACACTGCATCACGCTGCACTGAAATGAATGGTGACAGCGTGGCCTGTGCTTCTTATACCCCACCTCCAAGGAGTTCAGAGCACCATTTTAACCTCACAACCACCCTATAAGGTAGGCTCCCTCACCTTCCTCTATCTTGCCTAGGGCCGTGCAGTGAGTCTCACAATTGTGTGAGGATTTGAACCTGATTATTTGCTTGCAAGACTAGCACTGTAGCCATTGGTTTGTGTCAGGGCTTGAAATACTAGCTTGTTTTTACCTCATGAAGAATCAGTTAAAGATACACAAGTACTTTTGTTCTGAGGACTGCAACTTAATTGTCATGTTGAAAACAAAACAAGGGCGGGTTCAGACATTTTTCTCATGTATGTCAAAGCCCCAGATATTTGTAAAGGTGTTATTCCTGGCGTGGGATGTTAGACAGGGTGTGGGGCTGTCAGGGTTTTGCTTGAGGGTGAATAAAGCAACTGCAGACTCAGGCCCCTGGAGGCATTCTTAGCTCAAATGGAGGAAGCTTCCTTACGGTTAGAGGTTCCCAGGCCAGAGTTCCTATCAAAACATTGATGGGTAGATGAGAAGGGAAGTCTTCTCTCAGTGATGGTTCTGTGCCTAGGTGAGTCGTACTGTTTGGCTTAATTAGCTTCTTCCTCTGGATTGAGGATAGCAAGGGTAGTAGTTTCCGCTGATGGGCAGAGCAGGACTTTCCCACTTCCTGCTGCAGCCCAGCATTTCCCTGAAGTGCTGTTCCAAGGGTATGGAAGACCCTCCCCCCCAACATATGAGTGTTTTGGGAGCAGTGTTCCCTTTAAGCCTCCAGCTCAGGAAGGATGGCTCCAGAGCAAACTAATTTATGCAGCAGCCAAATCGCTCACTCACAACTTTAATGCCAGTAGCTCACAAAGTAGAATTTTTGCTCACAAGACTCCACAGCTTAGAGGGAGCATTGGTTGGGAGTCTATGGTGGGAGTGCAAAACTAGCAAAAAAAATCACACACCCTTTCCATTCACAGAAATCCTTTGCTGGATCCAATCCTGAAGACATTTGTCTCCCCTCAGCTTTTCATATCTGATTTTATATATGAGACATAACAGCCAAGGAAAGTGCATTATTTCCACCTTGTGCTGGGACAATTGCAGTTGCTATTGCTCTGCACAAGTGAAATACCAGCAATCTTGCATTGGACTTGAAAGGTACAGTGCCCAGCAACAAGGCCTACATTCTGTACAATCAGTGCTGGCTGTGTCACACTCTGAAGTATGACTTCCTGATAAGTTTGAAACACTTGAATTGTGTATAACTTTGGAGTACCTTTGAACAGTTAATTGGTTTTTTTTTTTAAAGATAGAACATATTAGTATGACTCTTGAAAATTGTGCTGTGTTGCCCCCTCATGTTACCTCCTTCCTTAGCTAGCATATTGGCTTTAGACAAATTCCCGTTTTTTAATGTATGATATAGAATTTAGCTGAGGGAACAGCATTTGAAGCCCTATTCATCTGGACAATTGCTTACTCGCTAAGTAGAAAAGATAAAAAATCCAGTAGCACCTTAAAGACTAACAAAATTTGTGGCAGGGTAAGGCTCATGGGAACTCATTCCCTGCCACAAAATTTGTTAGTCTTTAAGGTGCTACTGGATGCTTGTTCTTTTCTACCGCTACAGACAGACTAACATGGCTACCCATCTTGGCTATGTTGAAAATCAGTAAAAAGTTCTGGGGCTGATGTGTACAAATTGGGGAAGGGTTTTGAAATAAGAGTTTCTTCTATAATAGAGGCTGAGAATGCTTACGTAAGTGATAAGACCTGTTTCCTGATATAAAGGTTTCATTTGTACTTTGCATATTAAAATGCAGAGACAATTCAGCTAATTGTATGGCAGTATTCATATTACAAGTTTATTTTCTTGATTCAAGTAAAATTAAGGAAGCTGTTCCATGTTGATTTTAAGCATTCCTTGGAAAGCTGCTGGTATCTGAGAGATGATGCAGTTCCTGTTGTTATATCTGGAATTGTGTAGTTCAGAAATTTAAATCTGAGACACTTTTAACTTCCACTCATACCTGGCACTCCAGGTAGCTCCTGCACATATTTTGGCTTTAAGACACTTTGCAGATATTTGCTACTAGTAATAGTAGTTTAGCAGTGCTAAACAAGTGCAAATAGGAGGTATTACATATTGCTTGGTGTCTTTTCAAAGCTGTAGTCGTGATTTCAGCACAGAGATGGCTGTGCCACCTGTGCTCATCCTCCTAGTTAGTGTGGATGGACAAGGAATGACCGTGGAAGTTGGTATCCTGCATTTGTGACTCTTGGTTGACCAGTGCTGTGATTGTAGAACCATTCGCAGAACACTGTGCTTGGATCCCATGGTAACTTTCTGCTGACATCTTAGGGGATGGGAATTGCTGCCAGTTTCCCACCCTACTGCAGGCCCTCAGTTCACTCCTCATGCTGTTCCAGTAGGTCCCCTGGTTCACCTAGGAACAGCATCGTGGGGATCATTTGAGGAGGGAGGTGAAGTCCTGTTCTGCTGTCAGAATTAGCAGAGACTTACTGTGAAATCTAAGGCAGGAAGCACCCTAGTACTCTGCTACTCTGATTTCTGTAGTACCTAAAACAAATGTATGCAACCCCTTCAGGAAAATCCCTTTAGTCCAATGTTAGAAACCAGGTGCTTCTGTATTTGCAATTTTGATTTCTAATATATCCCCCATCCCAGAGTTTGTAGTTGGGAAACACTGCAGTTAGGAAATCAATCTAGTGTTTAAGCATGCTGAATTTGATATGAATAAATGTTTAATAATTAATATTTGTTCAGAGTTGGCTATATGTTTTTGAAGTCTGCAATCAGTACTTTGTGTGTTTGTTACCACAGCTGGGCAGAGGCCTTTTCGGTGTGTGTGTGTGGGGGGGAGAAGCATTGACAAAGAGGTTTTTAACACTTGCTAACTGCTGCAAGCCGGGTCCATAGCAGGAACACCTGCAGCTCTTTTTGGAGCCAGATAACACATCTGGTATTCCAGGTATGGAACTCCAGTACCAAATATAAATTGGCCTTACAACTTGCCAATTTTTCTTTAATCAGGTGACATACACTCCTAATTATAATTAATCATGTTTTAAATCATGTTTAAAAGATGCAGAAGCCCAGATATGCTGGATACAATCAGCAGACACATCAAAATACAAGCCCTTAGAAGGCCTTGAAGGACTCCTCACATTTGTAATTGGTTGTAAGACCACTAAGTGGAATCTTTCATGTAAATCTTGAAAAAGTTTCAGTCTGTTGAAACTTGTACATCTGCAAAAATAAAGCTGCTCTGATGTCTCCCTCTTTCTCCCTTTCTCACATATATGTGAGGATGGGTTGAAATGGGGTGGTGGGCAACAGTTTTATAAAAAAGGAACCCTATAGAAATGTTGTGATGACCAAAAATAAAGTTTTATTTATTGTAGAGGTTTATTCACTTAAAGTATTTTTATCCCTCCTTGCTCAAAAAATAGCCTTCAAAGCTGGTATATACCATTTAATAAGAACTTGAACTGGTTAACAGTGGCTTGCTCCAGACAGACAGCCAAAAAGATGCTGTCAGTAAACATGTCATGTCAGAAGAATACTTGCGTTCTTTGCTCCCTCTAAGCTGTGGAGTCTTGTGAGCAAAAATTCTACTTCATAAGCTACTGGCAATTTGGCTACTGCATCAATTAGCTTGCTCTGGAGCCATCCTTCCTGAGCTAAGACAAAAATGTGTGAGCTGGAGGTTAAAAAACTGTGAGCTAGCTCACACTAACTCAGCTTAGAGGGAACACTGCTTGCATTTGGTTCAAATTTATGAATAAATTATAACTGAACATTTCCTTTTTTCATTTTTAGGTTCTTTAAAAGATCACCCACAGCAACAGCCTGGCATGCTCTCTCGTGTGACTGGGGGCCTCTTCAGCATAACAAAGGGAGCCGTTGGTGCTACTATTGGTGGTGTAGCATGGATAGGAGGAAAAAGCCTGGAAATGACCAAAACAGCTGTTACAGCCGTGCCTTCTGTCGGAGTAGGATTGGTTAAAGGAAGTGTTTCTGCTGTGACGGGAGGTGTTACAGCTGTAGGTTCTGCTATCTCAAGTAAAGTGCCTTTAACAGGGAAGAAAAAGGATAAGTCTGACTAAAAAAAAAAAGACTGAGACCTGTTTGTCTCTCTGGCTTTGGAATCTGCAAAGATTTGGACTGTAACAAAGCTACATGTTTTAGACTCCTAAAGAGCTGTATGAATAACTTCACCTGAAAAGGACACAAACAGCTTGGTGCGCAGGGCCCAAACTTTCTAAAGCGTTCGATTTCTTCAAGCTGTCACCTGGTGAAATGTTACACTTGATAAATATGGGATCAAGTACTTGTGTCCAAAGGGATAGTTTCATTTGAATATTATTTCACTGTAGATCTTTTGCAGTCTTGAATGAAAAATGTGAAAATAGACGGCATGATTTAGCCAAAATTTAAGTCCTCCGATTCTAATGTCGAGATTTAAGCATGAGCTTAATTTCTCTCATTATAATCAGTTGAAATATACAGTGCTTACTTTTTGGCTGGGTGATGCTTTTGGCAGCCACTGCAGTACCATAAATATATTGGTGTTCCAACTACAAGTCTAAAGTTTCTGTATCTTCTTTAAAAATAAGGAATCATTGAACTGACATCATATATCTTTGCTTTTTGAAACTATTTTTATATTCTCTCTAAACTCTTTATGTGGTGACTCTAGTTGCGAATTGCGTGTGTGTGTGTGTGTGTATATATATACGTACAGTACATCAATACAATCATCCATGCCTTATGGTGAAACAAACTATTTTTACTTAGTGAAACTATAAGGATTTGTAATGTCCCTCATTTCAATGCAGTCTGTAGAAGAAGCTTTACACTGACAAAACAAAAGCCCTGTTGATACTGACTGGAGAGAGACTGCTAAATCTCAGGTGTAACTTACAAGTACCCACTCCTTACCTTCAAAACAAAATCCCTTGTGCTGACAGTTTGTTTAAACTGAACCTTAAGTCCAAGTTTACAGCCCATATAATGGATAATTTTTAGCTCTAGAATAAAAAGTTCTGTATTATTCAGCTAGAAGCATAAAAAATGACTCTGTTTCTAGATAAAAGGACAATCCAGCAACACTGTTGCTGTATATTCTCTGTGGGTGAAAATAGACAGAGATTGTGCTGTTGCTGTTATTGATGGATTTAACTCTTTATAATTTTTAGTATAAGAATATAAAGAACTTACTTGGATTACAAACTTGATCATTTTTCCTGAAGATCCAAAGCAAAGTGATACCCAAGACTGGCAATAGTAAAAGCAAAGCAATTAAAAAGAATTGGGCGATTTACATAAAAATTCAAGCTTTATCACTGCATTTTCCAGGGTGTCCTGAGTAAGATGTGGGAATCTAGCTTTCAATCTATAACCTATTCACTCCAGAATAGTCCTACTAAAATTGATGGTTGGCACTCTGGAGTAAGTTGGTTTCTGCATTGTGAGTTTGTTTGGGAACTCTTCAGCATGTTCTTGTTGACTTTTTAGCATTTTTCGTAGTCTGTAAAAGATGGCTAAAGTTCACATGAATATTCTGTATGCAGTATTTCCTAAAATGTATGTGTGTAAAAAATATAAATAAAAGAGAGAAATTAACCATATGGGCTTATTGATAAGCAGTTTTGATTCTAAAAGGTAGATCAGAATTTTTATAAAGTTTAAAAATCAAATAACTAATTTTTGGCAAATTATATATTCAGATTACTGGAGTGTTACCCAATGTGTAATAATGTAGGGTTACTGTTTGTATTTTAGCTGCCAAATAGCTTAATGACAGAGCATGCACAAGGTCCCAAGTTAATCTTTGGCATCTGTAGGTAAAGAGCTATTTGGCAATAAGGCTAAGAAAGGTGTTCTCCAGGGTCTCAGTCAGAAGTGCTGCCAGTCCCAGGAGACAGCACTGGGCTAGATGGGTCAGTTACCTGGTTCATAACAGTGAATGAAACAAGTAGTAGGCAGTAGTAGCCAATCCTGTAGCAGAATCCTGGATTCACTGCCATGTAAACTTTGGAGATGTCCTTAGAATTTTCCCTCTTAAACCTGCATAGAATCCTTTGCTGCTCTTACCACATTATACTAGTGGTAAAAATACATGTTACCTTCATTTGCAAAGCTTGTATATGCCTATGGGGACCCGTCTCTAAAAAATATGAAAGCAAGGTTGATTTGCAGGAAATCGGGTTCTATAAATTGTAGTACAATCACAGCTGTGTAGTAAACTAGTGTCTGCCTCCATATTTTATATCTGTAACAAGAACTATACATGCAACTTCTTAAATCGAGCCTCACCATCCAGATTGGCTTATAAACAAAGGGTTGCATGCAGTCTAGGAGACAGTCCAATAAGGTAGTCCTAACAACAGAAGTGTGTGATCTTACTAATGCACACTTAGGTAAAGGTTTCCCTTGCTCGAAAGCCAGTCGAATCCAACTCTAGGGATGCGGTGCTCATCTCCGTTTCCAAGCCGAAGAGCCAGTGCTGTCCAAAGATGTTTCCGTGGTCATGTGGCTGGCATGACTACACGCCAAGGCGCACTTACCAAGAAGTAAACGCCACTGAATGCAGAGGGCTTCTAAGTAAACAGGCATAGGGTCAGGCTGTACCTCTATGGAATACTGGAATTTCATTCGTATTTTGATAGTACACACACAGTTCTCCAAAAGCTTTGTCTTCTGAATCACACTTTTTTTGTTGTTGATTAGTATAATTAGTATTAGCAGTACTACATCATTAACTAGACTTTCCTAATAGATGGGGAGGCATGCAATCCTCTTACTCTCATAGCTCCATTTTTATTAAAAAATTAATTTTGTCTGGAAAAGGCCTAAAAATCAACTCAGAGTATTAATTGGATCTGGTTTATTGCAGTTGTAAAAATATGTTCATGGTAACTTCTTTTTCCCACCATAACATGACTTAAGTAGAAATTAATCTTCAATATGTAAAGGAGCAACTGGATTAAATATTGGTCTCTCTCTTTTTGCTTGTATCTTTCCATATGTGGCTTCAAATTCCTTTTTTGTCCCAGTCACATTTTCTAGATTTCCTCTTCTTATATCATATCCAATAGCATCTAATTTTTTAATTCTATATTGGACTATTTCTGGTGTTAGTTCCAACACTGCAGGAGTGTCCTTTATTTGACCTACAGAAATCCCTGCTTTCAATAGCCTTTCCAGTCTTTCCTCCAGAACTGGAACAGAATGGTAAAGAAGGGCAGGACATTTTATAATAAGCTGTCTTAATTCTTGAACACTGCATTTGAAAACACTCTTTGAGAACAACATGCTATTCTGCATAGTAACAGTGTTAAGCTGAAAAATAAATCCTTTGAGCCTGGACAGGAGACTTACAATTTCTAAATTTGTGAAATCATTCTTCTGAAGAAACTGCAAGTTTTCTTGGACAGCAACAGGGCTATTTAACAAAATAAATGGGTCTTGACAAAGTAATTTCAGTAGCCAAATTTTCATATTCTCTTGTGAACCACCGAGACGTAGATAGCTACTTTGTAAGGTTTCTAACATATGTTTGTTCTTCTCAACAGGATTGTTAAAGATGTTTGGGGCACTTGTTAGGAGTCTGCTGATAATGGTATTTTTTAGGCCCACATCTTTAAAGAGTCTAATGTTACCTTTCTGTTTTTCATAGTGCTCAACTGTAAAAAAGGTTTCTGGGAAGCGTTTTATCAATTCCACCAATTGTTTTTCATTTGGGCAGACAGATAACCACAGGTCTCTCTGACAACTGATACTTGTAGGCCTACAAAGGATTGCCTCTGGACAGCGCTCAAAAATATACATTATGTCACTCCTGTCAGCTCCCATCTCTTGCAAAATCTTAGCTGTTTCTTTGGCATATGTCACTTCTTTACAGAGTACCCAGGGTTTCAGCCTACGGATCTTCTTTATATCCACAGATAACTCATAGAGGCTCTCAACTGTAGCTTTGTTCTCTCCTTCCGAAGTCACCTCTGTTGTGTATCTGAAATGCTGTAAAAAGTTTCTGGTTTTTCTTTGATTGTGCAAGGCTGAGAGAGCAGGCAGCAGCATAAAGGGCTGAGATCTTGTCAAATGCACAAGAAGATTTGGGGTACTATGGGCCATTCCGCTTTGCATTTTGGGGGTGTAGCACTATATGGGGGGGAAGGCCTAAAAGACAAAAAAAGAATAAATCAGTTTTAATTTTATGGTATGCTCAGATAATCGAAGACAACTGAATCTGCTGTTTTTAACAGAATCGCCATTTCTTATTTAGCAAAGATGTTCACATTTGTGTTGCTCTTCAACAATAAGCTTTCAGAAAGAAGCCACTCTTCACTTTGATGTGGCAACAGTACTGAAATTTACATAGACAGGAGGAGGCTGTGAAGAGTCTGCCTTCTGTTTCAATCACATATGGACAAGGATTAAGCGCTGGCAAAATGTATGTTAGTAGGTCAACGGCAGACACCTCTTTTGCCATAAAGCATGTAAGTATTTTGTGTCACCTGATTTCTCAAGTTCAGCAAAATGTATTTGAAATAAAGAGTACACTATTACTAAAAATATTTAGTCATAAATTGTGTTTCAAAGACAAATTATCAGCCTGCAGTCCTGAAAATGCCAAGATGCAACCCAAAGAAACCATTTTTAAGGGTTTTATTAGCTTCATTTACAGTCTGCCTTTTTTTTTACTGAGGCTCAAGGTGGATTACAAATGTAAGAACTATTCATCAGTCAATCAGCAATAAAATTACTGTGATAAACATCTGAATCTAACACCAAAATTTCTATTAAAACAGAATAATGCAGTGGGGCTAGGAAGATAACAGGTATGAGAAACACTATTTAGCATGTCAGTGAGAGGAGTGCAAAGTACGATCTAAAAGATCTGTTGAACAGCACTGTAGCAGGTGAGGATGCTAATGTTACACCTCCTGCCCTATTCCTTTCTGGAGTCTGTAGTTTACCCTCCTCACTAGCCAATCACAGAGCGAAGTCCTGCATGCTTCAGCAGCCGGGGAAATTGAGCAACAGAAGCTAGGAAGGGATGGGGTGGGATGGAAATGGCAGTAACCTTACGGACTACGACAATAATGGAAGAAAAGAGTTGCACTCTAGCAACCTTTTCTGCATTTCCTGCAGAGAACTGTTTTCATTTCTTTAAAACTGCCACTGCTATAATTGAGATTTGTAATAGGGAATTGAGTTTTGTAATAGGGAATGAACATGGAACAGCAGTGATAGCTTGTGGTTTGAGGCACCTTGGATCAAACTCCCACTGGCTGTGATATCCAAAGCCAAATGCCTAGGCAACCTGAAGAGTTTCCTCTCTACATAGCAGGCTTTGAAAAATTTCAATTTAATACAGGTTTAGAATCCTGCTTCGTGGGGAAGAAACACTTAAAGTCGTCCACAGTTTCAGAGGGGAGCCGTGTTTGATCTGAAATAAAACAGATTCAAGTCCATTCACACATTAGAGACAAACAAGATTTTTGGGGTATAAGCTTTCAAGGGTTAACACTCCCTTTGTCAGATAAAATCTGGTCCTGATTTTGACATGGCAAATCAGGAAGCTTCCATTCAGCCTCCACACATGCAGAAGAGAAGGTAGCACATGGACACTGCAAACAAGGACTATAAATGGATTTATTATGATGGCTGAATGTGGCAGCTGCCTTGGTAGTTTTTCTCAGGTCCTGCCTTTCCATATTTTGTTTACCCTTCCAAGAGCTGATCGCTCCTGGGCAGATACATGTAGAGTGCTGCTATGTGAAAAGAGAGAGAGCAGGTCCCTTTTAAGAGCTTATTATTGAGGCATGAGCAGGTTCTTTTCTCTGCATCCCGAAAACTATGATAGAAGCTGTACTTGTAAACTCAAAATCTACCTCTGAGCCAGTGTAATGTAAGCTCTTTGTCTTTTGTGATACAGTTCCTCAGAAATGTGGGATGTCTTCAATTGTGCCAGAGCTCAGGGGAGGGGCATTTGTGTTCAGTGACTGAACACTGTGTCAGCATACTGTATTTACTAAATTAGGCCGCATCTACTGTGTATTTACTTAATTGCCACCTTTTCCACCCATCTTCCAGAGAGTCTAACAGCTATTTTTAATTTTAATAAATTCAACAAGAGCAGCTTTAACAATGCTTGCATCGTTGCAGCAGCAAAAAAGCACTGGTGAATTGCTAATTGTGGTGCAGCTGTTAAAGGCAGAAAAAGTCTGGGTTCTGGTATTTTGTAAATAAGCTCCATGTAGAAGAAGAAGAAGAGATTGGATTTATACCCCGCCCTTCACTACCCAGAGGAGTCTCAGAGCGGCTTACAAACTCCTTTCCCTTCCCCTCCCCACAACAGACACCCTGTGAGGTGGGTGGGGCTGAGAGAACTCTTGGCACAAACTGCTCTTTTTCAAGGACAACTGTGCCAGAGCTTGTGACTGACCCAAGGTCACATCAGCAGGTGCAAGTGGAGGAGTGGGGAATCAAACCTGGTTCTCCCAGATTAGAGTCCGCGCACTTAACCACTACACCAAACTGGCTCTCCATGTCATCTTAAAGCTAACACATTTAACTGTAACATGTATGTTCCCATCAGTGTTCCCTCTAAGGTGAGTTAGTGTGAGCTAGCTCATAGTTTTTTAGCTTCCAGCTCACACATTTTTGCCTTAACTCAAGAAGGGATGGCTCCAGAGCAAGCTAATTTATGCAGTAGCCAAGTCACTCGCTCAGAGCTTTAATGCCGGTAGCTCACAAAGTAGAATTTCTGCTCACAAGACTCCACAGCTTAGAGGGAACATTGGTTCCCATAGCAAAAAATAAAGCATATGACGCTTAGGTGCTTAAGGCTGCAATTTTATGCGCCTGCTGCGCTTGGTGTCATGTCAAATCTGGGTTCAAATCCCCAATTGTGCCATAAAGCACACCTTCGGGCAGTTGCCCTCTTTTGGCCTAACCTCGAACACATGGTTGTTCCGATGACAAAATGGAAGGGACGATCCACAACTCAGAGAGCGGGGAGGGATTCAAACAAAAGCAAGCAAGCGCTCAGAGACAGGGCTGCTAGCCTCCAGGTGGGGGCAGGTGAGAGAAATCCGTTCCCCTGGGGAAAACAGCTGTTTTGGAGGGTGGGCCCTATGGCACTGAGCAAACTTCAGAGGACAGCGGAAGACCGGAAGGCCTGGCGTGACCTGGGCCACGGCGCCGCGAAGAGTCGGACTCGACTGTGCGACTGAGCAACAACTGCATGGTATTATACCCTGACGAGGTTCCTCCAAACCCCCCCCCCCGCCTCGGGCCCCCCCCCCCCCCCATCACGAAGTTCCCAATCCGGAACCGGCAATCCTACATATAGAGCAGGAGAGTAAATCTATTTTCCCTTCTCGGAGATATGAACAAAACACCTTTCAGTACCTATTTATTGTCGGATAAACTTTCCATTCAGCCTTTTTAGGCCGCTTTACATAGCGGTGGTCCTGACGTTCAAATACCGGTCAGCGGTGACCAGGAGGGATACGTCTTTAAGAACTCGAAGCCGCCCACCCCCAGAGTGCCGAAGCTGCTGGAGCCTCCCGGTCTTCCGGAGATCGGTGGCTGCTGGGCCTGCGCAACCCCAAGGCAGCGCTTGGCTGCTGCTGGCCGGCGACCTTGCAGTGCCCTGGCCCGCCCCCGCATACCGCTCAGCCGCGGTTTCCCGGCCCGAAAGGGCGACCAGAGCTGTGTGCCAAGGAACAGCCACGTCTTACCCAGGCGGCAGCAGTAAAAACGACGCGGCTTCTCCGTCTCACTGACCAGCTGGCTTGGCTGTACCAATGTGCGGCGGAGGGGAGGGGGTGTGTGGATCAAACCATTTGCAACTCGGCGTGCCCGCTGGGATGGTTGTTGTTCAGTCGCACAGTCGAGTCTGACTCTTCGCGACCCCATGGACCACATCACGCCGGGCCCTTCTGTCTTCCGTTGTGCTCCGGAGTTTGCTAAATTTCATGTTCGTTGCCTCGATGACACTGTCTAACCATCTCATCCTTTGCTGTCCCCTTCTTCTTTTACCTTCAGTCTTGTCCAGTGAGTGCTCCCTTCTCATTTGGTAGCCAAAGTATTTGAGCTTCAGTATCTGGCCTTCCAGGGAACAGTCAGAGTTGATTTCTTTTAGGATTGACTGATTTGATCTCCTTGCAGTCCAGGGGACTCTCAAGAGTCTTCTCCAGCACCAGCACCAGCACCATAATTCAAAAGAATCTATTCTTCTATTGTCCAGCTCTCGCAGCCATACAGTACTACTGGGAATACCATTGCTTTGACCATATGGACTTTTGTTGGCAGGGTGATGTCTCTACTTTTTATTATGCTGTCAAGGTTTGCCATCACTTTCCTCCCAAGGAGCAGGCGTCTTTTAATTTCGTGGCTGCAGTCACCATCTGCAGTGATCTTAGATCTCAGGAATATGAAGTCTGTCACTGCTTCCACGACTTCTCCTTCTGTTTGCCAAGGAGTGATGGGGCCGGATGCCAGGATCTTAGGTTTTTTGATGCTGAGTTTCAAGCCAACCTTTGCGCTTTCCTCTTTTATTTTTAGCAAGAGGCTCTTTAGGTCCTCTTCCCTTTCTGCCATTAGAGTGGTATCATCTGCATATCTGAGGTTGTTGATGTTTTTCCCAGCAATCTTAATTCCGGCTGCTGGGATACAGAAGTGGAACTCTCCAGTCCGTACTTTAAAAAAAAAAAAAGCCACAAGATGTTGCAGTACAAGGAGTAACACAATTGATATCGAAGTTGCAAGACAGAAACCTACATTTTGATCACTCTTAACCAGAGATTATGCCTCAAATCAAATCTGTTGCAAATGGTTTCATCCACCCCCTCCCCCGCACATTGGTATCTTTAAGACCAACCAAGTTTTATTCAAGGTATTCAACTGTGCACGCACACTTCTTCAGCTAAAATGGAATGGAAATTACCAGTCCATACATATAGGTAGAGGGTGAGCAGTAAATTAACATACAACATAATGAAGATGTTTACCAGATTCAGGGACCAAACAGGAATAACAAGCTTAGTTTCTATGGTTAACATTTGCTTGGGTTTAATTCTGGGGACGGGAGACGGGGACATAGTGAAGGAAATAAATATGTCCAAATTGGAGATTGATGGGCAGATGCAGGGCTATTTTTGGGCAGGAATGAACAAACGGAGTTCCGGCTGGCTTCAGAGCTGGCCACGCCCAGTACAGCCAAAACCTCTGTGTGCATGGCTACAGAGGGAAGGCCTGGATAGCGACCCCCCCCAGTGACTCTGAGGCGGGGGGCCTGGAAGGATTGGGGAGGCATTTAAATGCCTCCCCGTGACTTCCCTGGCCGGTCCAAGGGCTGGCTAGCCGGGCAAGCCAAGGGAATGCATGGGGTGTGGCCTAATATGCTAATGAGTGCCTGCTGTTGGGTGTGGCCTATTATGCTAATGCGTTTCTGCTGGGCTTTTTCTACAAAAAAAGCCCTGGGCAGATGTGTCCTTAATGTGGAATGCTGAGAGTAATCGAACCCATTTGTTATGAGGGCCGGATCTGACATAAATGTCACCTTTTGGAGTTTTTTCATATGTGTATGCGTGTGTGTACACCTGGAAGTCATGGTGACATCTGGTGACTGATGCCTACTGGGGGCCTGGAGGATATTCAGAGAGGTGGCTGAAAAAAGCCTGCTCCCACCTCTGGTATTTCAAAAGAAGCTCTTCCATCCAAGTACTTACCAGAGTTGACCCTACTTAGCTTCTGAGATCTGAATGAGATTGGGCTTGCCTGGGCTATCCAGGTCAGGGTGACATAAATGTCACTTTGTTGGGCTGGACCATGTGCAATGCTCCCTCTGAGCTGTGGAGTGTTGTAAGCAAAAATTCTACTTTGTGAGCTACTGGCATTAAAGTTGTGAGTGAGGGATTTGGCTACTGCATAAATTAGTTTGCTCCGGAGCCATCCTTCCTGAGCGAAGGCAAAAATGCGTGAGCCGGAGACTAAAAAACTGTGAGCTAGCTCACACTAACTCAGCTTAGAGGGAACACTGACCATGTGTGCCATAAAATGTAATGCCAGGTACTAGAGATACAGACAGCAACTGGTAAGCTCTGAGTTGGTGCGTTCCTATTGCAGGCCCCTTACTGGGCAGATGCCCCCACACTGCCTGGAGGGGGGGCAAACCCCTTCCCCAGCCTGTTTCTGCCACCAATGCTGTGAGCCCGGGCCCCAGGGTAAAATTGTGAAGTGGCTGGGCATTGCGACCTCCCCCCTGCCCCCGAGCCACCGTGGAAGGGGACTGGGAAGACAAGTTGAACTAACCCTCCACCTGCTGAAGTGGGTGGCAGTGGTCCAGGCTCAAGGCCACATGCACAGCAGGACTGAAGCCTAGCCAAGCTGGAGATGCCCGTGTGGCAGCGGCTGCCTCCAGTCAACACTGCCAGGCGATCCATGGTGGAGCAATGCTGAGGGGTCAGAGACAGAGATCATTGGCAGGCCATGCCATCCCCATGCAGTGGCAGCCACCAAAGGCCACCAGATCATCTGATGGAGGAGCAGGCATCACAAGCACAAGGCTGTGCATGTGGCACTGGCCCCAGGCCACCTAGTGACCAGTATAGCTGGAGATCGCCTCCCCCCCCCCAATGAAGTGCAGCCACCTACGACTGAAGGCTGCCAGAGGGGGGAGGCCTGGCCACTAAGTTGTGTGCTTGGTGGCAGGAAGAAACTACCAAAGAATGCCACCTCCTATGGGCCAAAGCACAGCTGCCGCATGGGGGGGGGAAGCGAATATGCTGGTGGCACTGGCTGCCAGCAGGCCCCAGCAGAGGATCAACTGCTCCCCTCCCCATGTGCAAACGCCGATCCGGTGGCCATCCAGGACAGCATCCCCAGAGCTGCAGGCTGAGCAGAGAGGCACACAACCTCATCTTGGAAACGTGAGCCAGCATTGCACTGACTGTACTGTGTGAATACCATACAAAGCTGGGTTGCTTCCATTTTCTGTTGCACCTTGCTAATCTTCACAAGAGACCAACCTGAGACAAAGGGCATTTTTCACATCATTATAAAACAAAACCCACCCACCCCTTCATCATTGCTTCTGGATAACAAATAGTTGCAGTATCTTCCTTTCGGTATTCAGGAAGGAATGGAAAAAATTGAAGTAGTTTATTACATTGTTTATAGTGTATATTTTTATTGTTTCCTTGCATATCTTAAATGTTTGTAATCCGCCTTGTGTCTCAGCGAGAAAGCTGTACTAAAAATTAAGCAAGTAAATAACAAAATGGTTTTATTCCGGAGAGCATTCAGTGGAGGGTAAATTCTTTTTTTGGCAGATCCAGTTGCCTTTGTATCTTGCAAGTTGGTTTTCATCTTTTGTTTTTATCTTGTGTGTTGTTTCCATCTTGAGAGATTTTATCTTGTTGATGGACTATTAACACTGTTTTATGTGTTCACAACTCATTGCTTTATTAGCCACCTTTAGTCTCAGGAGACAAGGTAGAATATACATATTTTAAGTAAATCAATCTTGTTTATGCTAATAAATGGCTTCACAGTCAGCAATAAATTCACAACTTCTTAAAATGTTAAGCCAGAAGCGTTGTTCCTATTAATTTATATGGCATCATTAAGGTACATAGTGATTTAGTATCTGCAAGGAAGATAAGCCTTGAAGATTTACATTCTAAGTTTTGACAGTAGGGGAGACAACAGAGAAAGGGAAGGGGATGAAAAGATGAAGATGGGATAACAAACGAAAGAGAGGAGGACATGCAGTTTAACCATTTTTGGATCTCACTTTCTACACCCATTTAAATTGGGTTTCGGGCACGGATTTGGCTCAGAAATCGCCTCAGTTACACAGCTGTGCTTGCCATTAGCCCACTGGGGGTGCGAATGCCCTGCCACCAGCTTCCATTGCCCACTGGCACTCAAGCAGCGGGGGGGGGGGAGGTAAATGAAAACTCACCATCTGGTGACGACATGATGTCACTCTAGGAATTGCTGGAAAAACTATGGTTTTATCCTAAAGTTTCCAGTGATTCCTAGAGTGAAATGACATTACTTCCAGGTTTTCCTTCAAAGTAAAGTTGCTGCCCAACTGTGCCCCCTCGTGTGTCGCCCCCCCCCCCAACTCTTGCCAGCTGGCAACCTTGGTTGTAGTGCTACCACATCAAGGCACATTTGATATCAAGTTATGTGTGTGGTGGGCTGCCTTTTTAGACCTCTTGGAGATATCAGGGGTTTCAGAGATTGAATCGAGGATATTAATGTGGATATACTGCAGAGGCTATACACACACACACACACACACACACAACATTAAGCTTTCTTTTATTGCACGTGGTGGCAATGTCCACAAGCTGTACAATATTGAGAAATTATTATTGCTGACACTTGTTTAGGTAACTTTAGGACAGAGTATATACCTGTTATTGAATTATGTAGCAAATATTCTGGTTGATCTTTAAGAATTAGTCTTGTACACTGTCACAACTACTTGCATACTATTGGCTGGATATTTGTGTGGGGGGGATCTCTCCCAAGCAAAAAAAAAAAAAAAAAAGTGGCTGGATAAACCAAAAGACATGCTCTCCATTATTAGACTGAATGGCTATTTAAAAAAGAAGACCCTTTAAAAACATAATTGCTTGGAGAAAAATGTCCAGATGTACAATTAATAGTGATTTAGATATACTTGTTACTAATTTGTGTTTCTCTTGTATGTGT